TGAAAAAAAGAATGTGGTTGCTTTCTAAACTACATGAAGAAAGCAAGCACCAAAGAGGGTCATCAAATATAAACAGCAAATAAAGACGCCAGAAGAAGAAAGGATATTAGAAGAGCTCTTCAAAGCCTTACAGGAACGGCTTTCCAATAGGAACAGTGGGCACAAAACTGTTAGTGAATTTTACAGTTAAAAGGAGTTTAAGATTAAAAATTTAAGAATTTAAATTTAAAGATTTAAGATCAAATGGTGCCCACTATAGGAAAAGCCTGGACTTGATGATCCAAACAGCATTTTCCTGTCCTATGCTTTAATGTAAAAAGAATTACTACTCACACATCCACTTAGTGTGGGCTCCTCCTACATGGCTTTTAACAAAACCCCAGTCTGATTGCCTAGTCTCATCCCTTGCCTTAGCCCAGCTCCTCATCCAAACCTCAGCCTTTCCTGCCCATGATTTACCTTTGCCTTTATGCATCTCCAAATACAGTCATGTTACTCTCCACATTCCCTCAAGCCCTTTGTCTCAAGCTGCTACTCCTGTCACTTTCCTTTCCACTACCTCTAAAAACAGTACTCTGAGGCAAACGTCAGACATGCGAGGTTTTAACTTAGGCCTTTGAAACCTTTCCTGGACACACTGTTCACTCAGTGAACACTGAAGCAGGACCTTTATTTGCAAAAGGTAATTGGAATGGTCAGGAAGAAGGAAATCTACAACATTTTCCCTTGTTGAATTTTCTTTGACCATCGCTCTTTCTAGGATTTTCTTGGCAGCAGTCCGAGAGTAACTTCAGTAGCCAGGAAATCTGCTTACACAACTGAATTCTTATGAAACTATAGCCTTAGGAAAGGTCCTTATTAGTGCAGACAAAAACAGGTGGGAAGGTGCTCTACCATTACATTTAGCTATGTTATGAAACACAGTCTCATCAGAACCAGATGCATGGAGACTGTACCCACATATCTGGCCTTTACTTGTGTGAGTAAGCCACTGATGCTTGGCCTACAGTAGTTCAGCCTAGATTGCTTGCCACTGTCAAAATGAAAGTGCATCCATTTTTGTCTTGACATGCAATGCCACATTGAATAAAACAACTCCATTCCTATTACAGTTTAGCAAGAAATATTCTCTGTTGCTAGGTTTGTGTCTATTTTTGGATGTAACCTAAATATTGCATGTAAAAGCACAGAGAGGTCACTACACTCTGAATGTGCAAATATCTTATAAGCCTTTTATGTAGCAGAATGGACAAAAATGAGCAAAAAAAAAAAGGTTGTAAAAAGCCATGGTCACCTCACGAACCTGGAAACATTTACTCAGTGAACTTATCCGTACTTTACTGTGTAATCCCACTAATGGCTTTGTCTGTAACACAGCATAGTAGCACTACAGTGTAACATGCTTTTCACTTAGCTGTCACATATGCTACATCACACAAAAATACAGCAAGACACTGAAAGATTTACAGTTACAATTCACTATACTGCTAATATGGCCATACATAGTTCTATTTTTAGCTCTAACCTAAATAGAAGACATAGAAGCACAGAAGGGTCTTATTTTTTGTATGAGCAAAAAGCATTCAAGCTTATCATTTAATTCAGCAGCAAAAGAGAACTAACAATAAAGATATCATTTTGAATCTTAAAAATACATTTAATTTTCATTTCTGGAACTTCAATTAACTCCTATATAAGTACATATTTTTATATTTACTGGGTACTAAAAACTGTAATACTAAATATATCAAAAAAGTCAGGGATTTAAGTTCTGCTGAAATTGTAACTACAGAGTTACTCCCAGTGCCTTTTAAATACTTGATACTTTTTTTTGTTGTAAGTATATTCTTAGGGAGCAATATAATGAGCCCCATCAGAAGTTCAGAGGGTTATATACGTTTATATTTGTAATACCAAATGAGTCAATGTGAAAGCACTTAAGGTATAAATTTAGTTTATAATCAAATATAAGTATTTTATTTTTTACTGAAATGTCTATTGGTAAATACTGAAAAATGATAATCCTCCCATTTTAATATAAAATGAGTAAAAATCTCCTCACTAACGAAATCATTGATCTTTCTGCATACAAATCACATTTAAGTCCACAGGAATTTGAACTGAGGAATATTTTTCAGGAATGAGTGACAGTTTTCTTTCCCACCTCAGATCACAGGAAACAACTCTCCAACGTGTCTTTAACACGATTCTACCTTATTTTATGATAAATATTAGCAAATCTAAAGCATGTATAGAAATGAAAGTACACAAACTACTGCTTCTGTCCTCTTCTGATTATTCTACTATGAGCATCTTTTTAATAATTTACAAATTTTAGAAACATGTAAATTATAACACAGCTAGTTGATTCTTCAGTGAACTAACCCTTGGGATAATCAGCATCAAATTAATGATAACTGACATCACTTTGTTTCTGAGGGTAGATACAGCTTCACAGTCTCTGCTCCCCTACCCTTGCACTCCTCTGCTTAGCTAATGCATGGCCTCTGGACGTTCTATGAAGGTTACACCTACAGTTACCTACCTCTGTTTATAGGGTCTGAGTAGAGAGAATTGCCAAAGGTGGTACCTGGGATTTGTTTCCCCCACTATCAAAAGCTCCTGCAAATGTGTACCACATTTCATGTTTGCAGCTTAAAAAATCATCTGAATGACAGAAATAAAACTATATTCTTTGGGACACATTTTGGTTGTTCCAGTTATAGGGATCAGGGATAATCTTCCATTTTTGTTATTGTTTAATCCAATAATATACTGCACCTGAGTTTCAAGGTCTTTATTACAGGAATATAAAAATTAGTTGTGCCAGTTTTTTATATTACCTGGGTTATCATACAACTTTTCCAACTATGTAGTGCTCTCCAGCCAAGGAAACGTCTCTAAGACATTACTAACGTTGTTTGCGCAATCAGCCTCCAAGTTAAGAGCGCTAAAAAGGCTTTTAACTCCCCACAATGAAGGTTCAGAGTTGGACATTTTTTTCAGGTCCTTAAAGTAAATAAACAATGACATTGCCAGAGAGCACGAATGCATTAGATCCAAATTCTTCTTCTGATACTGCCAAATGTCATTTTCTTGGAGTCTACAATTTCTGACTAAGAGGCAGTGAAAATTCTGCTTTTTCAAGACTGAGCTATTGCATACCCCATTTGCATAGTGAGAGACCCATGACATGCAACCCTCTGCCACTGCAGAACTTAAGACTGATTACGACTTTGATTAAATGCTAGATAGACTATAATGAGCAAATCAAATTGCAAATATCTGAGCAAGGAACTTTTCCTGTCGCTACGATTTATCTGCAGAATTGGAAGGGGTTCAGAAGAGAGTAAAAAGAGAGATCAAAAAGCCAACTTCACCTGGCCATGAGATAAGTAAGAGAAATCATGACAAAATAATTGTGTAGTTGAGAGTGAATCAAGAATCTTTTCAAGAAGAAGGGCAAAATTTAGTGAAATTACTACCTGGAAATTCATAAATTAAAAGGAGATACTTTTTCAGATATTGCATAGTTGAATACGTATTTGATTACCCAAATAAGTCACTGAAGCTACCCCTATATCAAAGCTCAAAAAGGAACTAGGCATTTCCATGTATTAAAAGACCTCAGCTACAAAAAATAATAATAATGATCTCAAAAATAAAAATAAATCTCAAGATTACAGGCTCAGGACAACCTTTAATGATTAGAAATTAGAATAAGAACAACAGTGGGGAACAGATTATACTACGTTTGTCTACTATGGGTTCTTACACTTGCCTTGGAAACATCCGGTATAGCCATTACTACAGAGTACTGGCCTCGACAAAGCCTGTGCTGGTCACAATTCTGTAGTCCTAAAAGTGTCAGCATCCAATTATCCCTAATGTGGGATATTGGAACTTGATACATGCCGAAGCATCTACTTTCAGAAGTTGTTCCCTAATTATCAGGATCCTCCAAATTGCTTGAACTGGGGCATCCAAAGCTAATGTAACTGAGAAAACCATCCTCTTTAGAAATGGCACAAAATCTTCTGATATACGCCAAATCAAAGGCATGGCACTACCTGAGTAATATATCTGTCTCACATTCACAGTGGTGTTTTTCCAGCCCATAACTGCTGACTACACAAGCTAATCACTTTCGTGCACTTGAGAATTTGGATAATCCTCAGGCAAAGCATCTAAAATGTTACAAAAATATAAATAAGACTCATAGCAGTTATTAAAAAGTATCATCAATGTTATTTTGCATATAGGAAAACTGAATTTTGGACAAATGACCCAGTGACACCCAGTAGATCAGAGCTACCTACATATCCCATCTTGTAGCCCTACATTATGATCACCCTGCGACATTTCTTCCTCCAGAGTCACCCATCACACTATTGGGACTAAACCAGCTTGGTCAGAAGAGCAGAGCAGATGTTTCTTTTAGTTTCACAAAGCCTGCAGGTTGCTTTGAAAGAGAGAGATGAGAATTTCAAGTAACATTTTCCATACAGGTGCTGGATATTGAATTCCTGTTATTCTACCACAAGGCCTAGCCTGGGCACTGTGGACAAACATCTTGGCTTAGCACACTACTCACCCCTCATTGCAAAAATCTCAGGAAGTAGAAAATCATGTAGAAAAACTAGTAGAAACTAGACTGGACTCATATGCCACCTCTCCTTAGCTATCTGAATAGGATGGATGAACTTGCAGGGTATTTAACGTTCACTTGCACCTTGTTTACCTCCCACTATGTCTCCCATATCCTACTTGCTGGAGAAAGAAATTTTCTTTTGCCAACCCATGATCACACTCCACCCACATAGAGTCAGTTCTTGGCTCTAGAAAAGTTATTAAAAGGTCCTGAAGTTTCTTTCAGGTGCCATGAAATGACGCCTACTCTCCTGCAGACAAATAGTGTCAGTATCTTCTTCCACACTGATGCCAGCCCAGTGTAGACATGGGGTCATGTGCCAGGGAGCAAAAAGGCAATAAGTACTTACCACAAGAACAGCACTCAAGTGATCACTTTGGACCTGCTGCACTTGGATGCAAGGTCCTGACATTTGTAACCCTGAGTTACTGGGAAGGTTCCCAGCATCACCATTTGGGATGCTGCCATTACCAGGCCCAAGGCCTACAGACGCCCTGTACAAGTAGGTATGAGTCAGTTTGCCCACACCAGCAACTTCCAGCATATCTGGTGTGAAGTGGGAGCTGGGAAGCATGTGCACATTGTAGCAATACTTCTCATACTCATCCACTGGACAGCAGCGGCAGCAGTTGCAGCAGCCATGGTGGTGGGAAGCCTGGCAGCGGCACAGCCGTGCAAGGGTAAGGAAGAGAAGGAACGCTGCAAAGACACAGGAGAGACAGGCAAGGGAAACAATCAGGTAGAGGTTTGTGGTGTTGAGCAGTGGTGGTGGCTCCCCACTGTCATCAAAGTCGGGCAGTGCCTGGGGCAGGGAGTCAGCCAGCAGGATGCCCACAGTCACAGTAGAGGAGAGTGGTGGGTCCCCATGGTCTCGCACCACCACGACCACCTTGTGCTTGAGAAAGTCAGTGGAGCGCATGGAGCGTGTGGTGCGCAGCTCACCAGAATGCGGTACCAAGTGAAACAGTGTGGAGTCAGAGGAGTGGGCAAGGTGATAAGAGAGCCAGGCATTCTGTGCATTGTCATCATCATCTGCCACCACTTTGGTCACCAGGTAACCCTCATCGGCCAGGCGGGGCACAATTTCCACGGCCACAGAGCCATTCTGGCTTGTGGGATACAGGATGGCTGGGGCATTGTCATTCTGGTCTGAGATGTAAACATTCACAGTTATGGCAGTGCTCAAGGCTGGTGACCCATTGTCCTTGGCTTCCACTTGGAAGTGGAAGCTCCTAAGCTGCTCAAAGTCAAAGGCTCGCTTTGCATAGATGCTCCCATTGGCCAAGCTCACAGATAAAAAACTGGCCAGGGCACTGCCTGCAACCGTGGAGTTCCTGAGTGCGTAAGAGACCTGTCCATTTTCCCCCACATCAGGGTCAGATGCTGAAACCTGGTAGAGAAAAGCACCAAGTGGATTGTTCTCCTCCACAGAAACGTCACATGTGTCAGCGGTGAAGACAGGGGGGTTGTCGTTCACATCAGAAATCTGCACCCAAAGGGTCTTCTGAGTGGTAATAGGAGGGGAGCCCAGGTCTGTGGCAGTAATGGTGATGTTGTACTCACTAATCAGCTCTCTGTCCAGATGCCCACTAGTGACCAGACTGTAGTAGTTTTCAAGGGAGGGTTTTAGCTGGAAGGGAAGGTTATCAAGGATCTGGCAGGTTATCTTCCCATTCTCCCCAGGATCTTTATCCATAATACTCAGCAGAGCTATCACAGTGCCAGGCACAGCATCTTCAGGGATGGGACTGGAAAGGGATGTAATTGTTATCTCTGGGGCATGATTGTTCACATCAGTGATTTCCACCAGCAGCTTAGCTGTGCTGGACATGCCAAATGCCCCTTTATCCCTTGCCTCAATAAGCATCTCAAGAAGAGGTCTCTTAACAGCTAATATGCCATTGACTGTCACCTCTCCAGTGTGAGGGTGAATTAAGAACATTTGCTGTAGACCAGCAGCAGTGCTATTGCTAAATGAATACCTGACTTCTCCATTTGGACCTTCATCCAAGTCTGTGGCATGCACTTGGACTACCAAAGTGCCACTGGGGGAGTTTTCCAAGATACTTGCCCTGTAGACTGACTGCTCAAATTCCGGTGCGTTGTCATTGGTATCCAGCACAGTCACAATGACCTCGGTGTCACCAGACTTTGGGGGATTACCACCATCTTTGGCTGAAAGGACAAGTCTGTGAGTAGCTTGCTGCTCCCTGTCTAAGGCTTTCTCCAGCACCAACTCAGGATACTTACTCCCATCCCCGCGTGTCTGCATTTCCAATCGGAAATGTTCATCAGAGTTCAGAGTATAATTCTGGACACTGTTGGAACCTTCATCAGAATCCTGGGCAGTGGGGAGTGAAAACCGTGCCCCAGGTGACAGGAACTCAGCCACATTTATGTGATATTCACTTAAGGGAAAGCTGGGAGAGTTGTCATTTATGTCCAGGACTTTAAATTCCATTCTGTAAAGCTCTAGAGGGTTTTCTAGCACAAGTTCGTAATTCAGAAAACAGGCAGATTTTAATTCGCAAACCTGCTCTCTGTCTATGGGCTCATTAACAGATAAAGCCCCCGTGCTTACATCTATATTAAAATATTGCTTACTTGAGCCGGTGATCATGCGAAATTTCCGGGATGAAAGTGTAGCCACATCTATTCCTAAGTCTTTTGCTATGTTTCCAACAGACACTCCACGCTCCGTTTCCTCAGTGATGGAATATGCTATTTGCCCGTTCACGGTGCAGGAAATAAGGCAGAAGACCATTAAATAGACCCGCATTCTTCCTCCTCTGGCTCAGCTCCCTGCAGACCCTCTCAGCAGTAACATAATCCAATATTTCAGCAAAGACCTGAAGTTCCCAATGAGAAGCGAACTGGCGCGAGGGCGCACCGACGGAAAGGTGAAAAGTTTGCTGCAGGCGAAGGGAGCGCCCCTGCGCCCGCTGCGGCTCCCCCGCGCCGCCG